CTCTTTAGCTCAGTGGCAGAGCACTGGTCTCGTAAACCAGGGGTCGTGAGTTCAATTCTCACAGGAGGCATTATGTTTTTGTCGGATTTTGTTGATGAATAGTCACTTGAATCTTATGGTATATATAGAGATTTATCAGGAGATATAGCCTCTTTAGCTCAGTGGCAGAGCACTGGTCTCGTAAACCAGGGGTCGTGAGTTCAATTCTCACAGGAGGCATTATGTTTTTATCGTTTTTTCTATGATTATCGATTTATATTCAATACGCAGATAGAGGTTGATCAGAAAATATAGCCTCTTCAGCTCAGTGGCAGAGCACTGGTCTAGTAAACCAGGGGTCGTGAGTTCAATTCTCACAGGAGGCATTATGTTTTTGTCGGATTTTGTTGATGCATATTCACTTGAATCTGATGACATGCAGATTGAGATTCATCAGGAGATATTGCCTCTTTAGCTCAGTGGCAGAGCACTCTGGTCTCGTAAACCAGTGGTCGTGAGTTCAATTCTCACAGGAGGCATTATGTTTTTGTCGAATTTTGTTGATGCATATTCACTTGATGCTAATGATATATGCAAATTGAGATTTATCAGGAGATATAGCCTCTTTAGCTCAGTGGCAGAGCACTGGTCTTGTAAACCAGGGGTCATGAGTTCAATCCTCACAGGAGGCATCATGTTTTTCTCGTTTTTTCAATGATTATCGATTTATATTTAATGATATACGCAGATTGAGGTTGATCAGAAAATATAGCCTCTTTAGCTCAGTGGCAGAACACTGGTCTTGTAAACCAGGGGTTGTGAGTTCAATTCTCACAGGAGGCATTATGTTTTTATCGTTTTTTCTATGATTATCGACTTATATTCAATTCGCAGATTGAGGTTGATCAGAAAATATAGCCTCTTTAGCTCAGTGGCAGAGCACTGGTCTTGACATACTTGAGTGGATGAATCCACTCAAGTATGTCAGGTAGTGCCATCTGTCAGCAGAGTGGTTCACTTGTAGTACCACTCTGTAGCGTATAGACGTATGGGTCTGTACGTGTGACTATAGATGGCAGCGCCATACAGTGTATGTCGCGATCTCTAGATCCTACCTTAGAGCTTTGCCAATTGATGGCTACAACATGACTAAAACTTCATGTTATACCCAGCACAATAATTATGGATGTCATGGTTCCAAATGTTAGGTTCCATTTTGTCGCTGGAAAACTTAGGGCAAAGTTTTTGCGCTTCATAATGAAAAAATCATAGCGGCTTATGAGAGTTTTTATACATGAATTCAATTATTGTCGACAGAAAACGAGATTCTTTCGAACTCATTTTCTTCGTCACGTTTTTATCAATTCAGTGACATGATTGCTTTTTAAGTTGATCATACTCCATGCATCATTTCGTTTCATTATAATTTTGTATAAAATCTCATCCTGGAGAGATGCTAAATCATTTTTATAAGTTATATAGCCAATGGATAGAACATTATAGAAACTATTAACCTGGAAATTGGTTGAGGTAGTCGGAAGTTCAGATGAAACAAAATTTACCGAAAAAAATGTATTATACGTTTCGAGTGCTGAGCATTTCATAATATATTGTTTAACGTGCACGGAATGATAGTATTATCCTAAGAGAATGAAGTTTGCAGCATGAGCCGTAGGAAAATAATATCACAATGAAGTAATTGTGATATCAGATACGGAAATGACATACAAAGAAGCTCATTGGTTTATCGAATACAGTTAAACGACAGCAATTTTGTGTTATAGCAGTAGAAAAAATTTTTTTCGACTGGCTGAAAGTAGTTGTCGAATTCCATAATATATGCATATGATGGTTTCAGGAACGTATACAACCTTTCTAAATAACTTATATATTCGAATTAGATTTTCGAATGTTCTCATGAATAATTCTGCTGGAATGAAAGGCAGTCGCAGTTTCGTTTTCCTTGGATGGTATTGCTAAATTTTCCATAAAATACATAATATGCTCATGAAAATGTTCAGTCCTTAAATAAGCTGAAAAATAATAGGCCACTGTTATATTATATACATAAAACATGATGATTAGCAACATCCTGTATATCGAAGCTATCACTAATATAGGAAATGTCCCTGAATTTCCTTTAAAATATCAATCAATCAATCAAATCAATCAACATGTACTTTATTGCCTGAAGAATAAATTCTTATTGACAAAGTATAGATCGTTCTTACAAAGCATTTTCTTATATATAAAATAAAAACAAATAATCAAATATGAAATGTAAATATGTAAAGGAAGTATGTAAATGTATAAAATAGTTTTAAAAATTTATAGGGGTGAAAATGTATAAAAGCAGAAATATGTGTGAACATTCAAAAATTTTTTTGAAAAGACATCAGTACATAATTATATAAGCAAGTTTGAAAATGGGTAGAATTATTATGAAATCAGGTGACCTGATAGAATTCGGTGAGATTATAACTCGCTTTCTCCAATAGAAACTTCTTAACCGATTTCCTAAACTTTTGTTCAGTTTCTATTTGCTTTAGGTGCAAGGGCAGATGAGTGAGCAACTTCTTGCCTTCGAAAAAAATATAGAGTTCTTGGTAAGAGTTGACGTGGGAATAGGCTGTTCAATGTTATGGAAAGAGCTTCGGGTATTAGGTGTCGTAAACTCATGTCTGAATTTTTTAAAACTTTTTTTTAACCAGGCAAACGGTTTCCAAAATGAAAATGCAGGCCAGTGGCAGTGTTCTATGAACCAAAAATGAAGGTCTACATGAATCCTTCGAATCGGCCTTGCACATATATCTTAGTGCTCTTTTTTGGAGAATAAAAACTCTATCGAATAAATAGTTTGCGCACATGCCCCAGAAGCAAATACCATAGCGTAGGTGCGATCCAATGAGTGAATAGTAAGCGTTTTTTGCCGCAGTTAGACCTAATTCATTGGATTATGGACTTTTACCATAGACTAATGCATTGGATTTAACTCGTACGGCATAACAGCCAGACGCTAGATTTTTAGCTAAAATGAAGATGTGCCCTTCAAATTTTAGTTTGGCGTCAATATTCAATCCCAAGAATTTGAGTAGCTTTGATGCTAAGACAGTCATTATCGATAAATACATTGTTGATAACGTTTTTAAAGTTGATTATATCTGTCCTAGAGGTGTTGAAAGACAAAAAGTTGGCGTCGCACCATTTTTTAACTCCGTTCAGGTCCTCATTGATGATGTCCTCTAAAATAACGTTATCAGTACAATGCCAGAGGATGGTCGTATCGTCTGCAAATATCGTAAATTGCCCATGTATGTCGACAAGTGTTAGGTAATTCACATATAATAAAAATAGCAGGGGTCCCAGTACAGAGCCTTGCGGTACTCTATGTTTGAGAACCAGATGTTTCGAGTTCACATTTGCGATGATGACGCTTTGGAAGCGTTCGGCCAGATAAGAGTGAAACCAGAGTAATGCTACTCCTCTGAAGCCATAGGTGTGTTACTTTTGAAGCAGTATTCTGTGATTTACACAGTCAAAGGCCTTTGGAAGATCACAGAATACAGCTGCAGCTACCTCCCCATCATCATTCAACCTAGGATACCCTGAACTAATTTCCAGTTATTATCGAAAATAAGAAGAAAATATGTCGCATGTTCGTTATGCTCACGTGAATAAAAAGCGCTCTTTACGTATGAAGAATAATTGTACTTAAAAACAATAAAAAAATAATAATGATTGGAGAGAAACTTGCATAGGCGGAAACTGATAAAAACGGCGATTAAACTATTATAGTGCTAGATTACTATTTTTCATCAAAACAAATGTTTCGCGAGGTCTGTAATTTTGTAGTTGCACTTTGTGTAAGTTACGACAATAATGTGACGGTGAATATTGTTCTCATCTTTTTCATCAGTGAACAAAGGTGTTGAAACGATAATACGTTATTCATGTGAGTGCTATTTTTATATTTATCTGTGCTTATCGTGAATGGAAGCTGCAATTTGGCTACAACTGGAAAGTAATAAGAGGTTATTTTATCCAGAACTATGGAGATGATCATCTATAGCTTCCTTGATTCTCAATAGTTGGAAACAGTCATTGGTCTACAATTCTATTTAGTTATACAGGGTGAGTCATGAGGAACTGTACATACTCTTACTACGAATAGAGGCCCTTGAGGGGAATACCTAGTGACCATCAAAAAGTGTCTTCTTCTCTTCTTTACCAATATGAAGGGTGAATTATGAGATTTGGCAGAAACATATTTTTGTCACAACTTTTTAACAGCTCCTTCGATTCGTCTGATTTTCTCATGAAATATCCAGGACCGTTTTTGATAAATATAGATAGTATAGTTTTTATCAAAAAGTTCATCCTGTATATGGTTTCTGTAAACTGTGACACAGGATTTTCAAAGCACACAAACATGCATCAAAAATAATATATTCGAAATTCTCCTTACACTTTTACAGAATTTTTCAAGAAACGATAAATCATAAGCAAAAACGAAAGTTTGATAACACATTCTATTCATTCGAAAATAATCACTTCGCGATGTATCCATTTCATTAATGAAAGTGAGACTGACATTTTCAAATATTTAGCCCAATGGAAATCAACATGTTTTTCTATTTTCAGGCCTGCATTTCATTATTTCATTTTTTGTGGGAGGTAATAATCCCCCTGTAGATCTTTCTTAAATTAGTGGACGAGGTATCTGTTTAGATGTTAATGGTCATCGATTCAAATAATTCATGATAGTCGAATAAGATTCTGATAATTTAGTTCCTATTTTTATTCTGAAGGAAATTCGTACAGCGAAATCTATTCGAATAAGATGTAAAAAAATAAATAAGTACGAAAGGATATACCTCACACACAGCTATTCATATTCCCTGTGCGAAACTAGCATTTGCACTTCTCCTTTTCCTGTTATGAGCCATGGGCAGGGAGATTAAATCACCCTGTACTAACAACTTTTCCTGGATACACAATGTAATTTCCTGTTACCTTTTCAGAGCCATGCCGTCGATCTACCCCCTGATATCGAAGCGGGAGGCGCCTTCCGCGCCTATGGCCGTCGAGGCCGCCAAACCGACGCCGCCGTCTGCTGAGCTTCCTGAGCCAGACGTCGTTACAACTGCGGCGACGCGAGAGACTTTCTCCGGCGCCCCTGCGGAAGTGACAGGTACAGGCCGGCGCAAAATGAACTTTATGGTTTGAACTCGTTACAACTATTGTGTTTTTAATTCATTCCCTCAAAACTGCACTGAGAAAACTTGGATCAACGATTATTATTGAATTTCATTTCCTCAGATAAAGGTTTATTTCGATTATTTCGATACAACAGAGCAAAGTGAAGGAAAGACTTCACCAGCAATCGGCAAATAGATGGTGGTGTAATGAGGGAGTTCGCTTCAAGTTGCTAACCTAAAAACATGTCGTAGCAATATTATGGAAGTTTTATTACTCAACTGGCTTTATTTAGATGAAATCTGATTGTAGGAGTCTACTCAGCTCACTAATAGAAGTTATTCAGAATGAAAATTGATTTTTGTGAACTCCAGTTCTGATTAGTTGAGAATTATGTTGATGCACCTGCTTTCATTGGCTATATTCCGAATTCAACTGACAGTACTGAATCTGCTGATTTTTCATTCCGAATCAAAATATTCGCTGGAAGTGACAGATGCTTATGAGCAGACATACTATTCATTCCAAATATTTCGACTCAACATTCTGCTGAAATTGCTGACTATCGAAAGGTCAGTGAACTGTCATTATTTTAGAGGGGAAAGGAATGTAACATTCATTTCCGTTGTTGATAATTTATTATTCTCAATATCAGAAAATACCTGTTATTGATATGATAAGCACTAAGAATAATATTGAGTATGAAGTAGTAGAGGTAACGAAAGAAGAAGCAGTATTGGCTAAATAAATAACTAAATAAACCTGAAATGTCTCCTAAATTCATCATCATTACGTTTTCTATAAATCTTTGAATTCTCAATCTCGTGCATCATTCGAAATCAATGGCAATGAAATGTCCAAGTATTCTTTATCACTCGAGCCTGAATCTGAATCGTCATCGTCAATAATCGTAGAGACTATGGAGGCTACAAGAATCGATTGCTCTTCCATGTTAAATATTAAATATTAAATATCTAGTCCAGATAAACGAGAAACTACAGACTGACAAATTTCACCAGCTGATCAACTGCTGCTGACTACTGATGAAAACCATGAGAACGTGTCCCGAATTACAGCACTGTATTTTTGATTTTATATTTCGGAACACAGATTTACAGCAGATTCAGTGGATCTACTGACAGTACTGACCAGTTGAATTCGGAATATAGCCTTTGTCAAATATGTCATATCTTTGTATGTTTAATTACTTGTCACATTTTTGTTACTTATTTCATAAGATCATTTTGTTTATGGACAACACTATTATTCATCATTCTTTGGTGAAGAAGTTCGATCGTTGCAGTAGGAAGTACGAAAATATTTCCTTTGAGGACCTTTATTGAAACTGGTCAAAGTTTCTTGTGATACAGATACATATCACAAATGTAATGATACAACAATATAAAAATAACATTCCTTCATTCGAATTATAAGACATAGATAGTGAGGAAATATAAATCGAAAACAATGAATTTAAATACCTAATAACAATGTCATGTTGATAACCGAATTACGATGTATCGAGAGTAGCACCAGACCAGGTAACTTTGGAACCCTCACATCCAGTTTAGGTTCACACGTTTCTCATGAGAGTTTCTTGATCATTATTCAAAGTTCGAACGTGATTCGGACTTACTCATACAGTGATTCATTGATATACAATTATTCTTTACTAGTGACACTACTGACACTATTGAAAGTATTGCCATTTCAGTATTGACGTACCGCAGATGCACCAACACGAATTTCAACTAGTCAGATGTGAAGTTCACAGAAACTAATTTTTCTTCTGAATAACTTTCATTAGAAAGCTGAATAACGAATAACTTCATATGACTAAATTCCCGCTCAATCAAATTGTGGAATGTCTATAAGTCCATTACACTGTTACATGTCATGATTCGACTATATTAAACTTCTTGAATTGAATTTTTCTGTTCTACATACAGGGTTATTTCAAATGTGATACTGATATTTCAAGGAAGTATTGCTGGATTCAAAACAGGACATGAATATGTCCTAAACTCCTTCGAGCTACAGTTACTGAGAGTTGAATTAAAATAAAATTGTCTATCTGTGATTGTGATCATGACAACGAATCAAGTGCAAGTATTCCAGTACTGCCCACCTCTGAGATAGCAGCCTCAAATACGTTCCGACATATACGATCACCTCAGTATGCAAGCGTTTAACCCGTTGCGTTCGAAAACGATCCTGACTTCCCCTTTCGTTGATTACGATTTTCTGGCAAACGGTTACTTGTATGAAAAAAATTCAGAAGAGATGGAGAATACCGAAATTTTACATTTATTACCTACAAGGTCACGCTATTCGAAGTCAGAGTTTCCCATGTAAAACATAAGATTTGTGTGTGGACTTTTCCCCAACTCCCCCAGAACTTAGTTTACTTCATTCTTGAGGCCAAAAAGGATATAAAGTGTTTGCAAAGTCAGGAAATGCTAATTTTCAGAAGATTTGATCCGTTATTTTAGTCACAATTTCAGATAATCTTTTTTGCTTACCCAACACTCACAGTGGCAGTAGTTCGGAGGGGTTGCATTTATGGACACATGTTTATATGAAGAAGAAGTCTTATTTCGATCCCAACAATATGTCCTTAGAATATTCACATCGAATTTTGAATCACCCTGTTTCATAATTGACTACAATGATTTTCATTTTTTTCAATATCGATAGTATCGATGGTCAATTTTCGCCCACTATAGCTACCTCTGAATTGACAGGTGGTGAGCAGCTGGAGAAGCACATTTTCGGTAACAAACAATTTCATCCGTCTCATGGTCGTACGACTCCTCATGTGGAAGCAGGTATTTTGATGTGGAAGTGAATCTGGTGAATTTTGTTAAACCTAGCACGTATTCGTAAAAATTCTTCTTCATCAACTATTCCGAAAAACCTCATGATCAGGATTGTCAACCAGAAGGTATAAAGATCAAGAATAGTAGGAGAGCCAGCAGCAAATTTCAACCGTCATATCTGATAACGAAATGTTATATTATAAGTCATGAATTTTATCGAACGGCACCTGTGCCTGTATTGATGTGTGATTTAAAAAAAAAACATGGGTGACGATGAAACTTTCCGAAATTTCATTAGAAAATATGAAAGAGGATACAATTGTGTAGATAAAAAGCATCAAGTATTGAAACTGGTAAAAATTCACCGTTTTCGAGAAAACCCTAATAACCAAATTCAATTCCAAAATTTGATGTAGTTGTCTGATAGTCCATTCAATACATCTGTTCAGATTACTCTATAACCATGACAGATATTATTCTGTAATTGTGGCACTATGTCAGTCACATAACAGACTGAATTTTGCCACCACCATAAACCGTACAAGGTGGACATAAAAAATAAAAAAGGGTCTTCTACGACTTTTATTTATGGAAACTTTTTTATTTTGTTGAGACGCCCATGTTTCGAATTGCTTTCCACATATTATGAAACACCCTGTATATCAATCTATCATTGTGGCAGTTTACAATTCGATCGATTAAAGTTAATTTACGCGTTAGTGTCCTTGCCCATAATGATGGGTTTGTTATCATCATTATTGCCATTGGTTACCTCGTGCTATGTTTAACATCATTCACATCATAGTGTGTTCGATAGTAGGACACATACACACTTGGAGACCTTACACCAGTACACTTCAAAAGCACTCAGGAATGGACCACACCTTATATCTCTGTTCTTCTGTTCATAAATATTAATGAAACGATAATCGATTGTTAAGAAACAGTATAACGTTCATCATAATATTTGTGGTAATTTTTAGACTACCAGTAGCTCAAAACTTTTAGTTTTGTTGCTTCAAAGGAAAGGTAGTAGTAGAGAAGCCCAAGCGGGGATTTCGGGATTCACTCGAGCGCGGCAGATTAGCATAAGGGGGTTATCCTTGGACCTTTTAAAGTACTCTCAATATACCTGGGCCCTTCAAATGGTGCCGAAAGTTTAGGGCAGCCGATCAGATTAGTGAAAAAAAATCGATCGTCAGAAATACTCGAGCGCGTCAGATTAAGACATGGTACGTTAATTACATGCAGAAAAGTGTAGATTTGAATTATCTGACGATTTGAGCGGTATATAAGGAAATGGGAGAGCCACAAAGTTGCAAAAAGAATCGTCACGTGCACATTCTTGAGCGCGGTAAATTTTCTTCTTATTTTGAAGGCAATCAGTCACGGATCACAGAAACAACTTAATCAGCCGATTTGCACAAGCCGAAGAAGCGAAAATCATCAATTTAGTGTGGTGCTTGCATCCTATTTCTATGTGATAATTCCCCTTAAAGCTGAAGTGTGATATAGATCGTTGGAATCAGGTCATAAGTAGAAATCTGAAAATGCAAAACAATGCTATAAGAAAAAGTATAAATTTGATACGCCACGAATTTTTGAGTAACCCTGTACGACGAAAAATATTTCAGAAATGTATTGCTCATGAGACTAGACCATCTTCGGAATTTTTGTTCATCTATTATTATCTCACTTTGCCACACTATTGGTCCAACCTGTATGTCTACATGAACCTTCCATCTCAAAATTGTGAATTCTTCGAGCTGTGAAGTCCTGCTAGAAAAAACTGACTCATTTCAGTTATTACATTCAGTCAACAAAGAAAATCCAACCGTCAGATTGAGCAGGTAACTCCTCTACATAATTGTCAGATTATGGGTCGATACGACAAGGACATTGAGATGAAGCGCCTGTATAATGATCTGATGCTCTCGAGTATTTCAAGGTCACGATTTTTTTTCATTTTCAAAATTTGATAATGACTTGGTCGCGTCCAAATCGTCAGCCTTCTGAATAGAAGCTACTTGAGGGTTCACTTAACATCCCTTCTCAATATCTGACGCGCTGGAATACATTTTTTTAACTATTCTCTATCCCTCCGTACGGCCACCCCCACCATGCAAACCGGCAGATTAATATTTTTTTCGGTTATCACAAACACGTGGAGCGCATACACTATCAATATCTGATGCGCTCGAGTATTTCAATGTGACTGTTTTTTTTACATTTTTGAACACCTGTACACGCTCTCCCCACCAGTGAAAAGTCATATATCATGTCAACTTTTTTTCATTTTCGCATCTAATCTTCACAATCTGATACGTCCCCACGACGCTCGAGTAAATCCCTATTTAGCCTCTTTACCTCCCCTGCTATAGCTTGAAATAAATAGTCCGGTGTCTGATCGGTCTACAGCGCTCAAACCCGCTAGACAGCCGTTCACGATGCCGAGATACACAGAGAAGTTGGGAACCAACTCCCCAGAAGTCGAAACTTCTGCGGAGTTAGGAATAAGGTGTCATGAGAGATAATTATATTATCTTAAAAGCAATTCGATCGCTCTTTTTGCTTAATGGTCAACATTAATCAAGAACTCAATTCGATAGATTACCTAAATTGAATCAAATATTTATGATCAGAACGGACAAATGGTGAATCAGAGATGATGTCCTTACTGGAAACGTCTCTTCGTCTCCTTCAAGCCCTGCTTGATTCTCACACTGAAACACTTCAATATACCTCCACATCACTTTCATGATACATCACATCACCACCGCTTATGTTTATGAATGTTTCATTCTCGTACGATGAATTTCTTTGGAACATTGTCAAAGCACTCTAGTTTTTTTGATTCTTCGGAAACGGCGATGGGTATTCAACTGTATGGAGGTCATTACTGGTCATAAATTTTGAACCATACTTCTCATGATCCATTCATACCCACTTGATATTCATAAAGAACAATCTGTATGAATATCATAGCTCTGTTTTGATATTTTCTTCCAAGGATGGCGAAACATCAGATGGATGTTTCAGAAAGGAAGACATTTTTTCTTATTGGCAGACCAGACAGAGTGTTTGAATCCAATTTTTAAAAACGCGCGTTTTTAATAAAGTTACCACCGCAACACATGTCATTAACGAGCAAATTAACGAGTCAAGAAACGTGGAGTCTGAATGTCAACTTTTAAATAATTATCGATATGACCATGTACATGTGCCCTCAAAAAAATATTACTGACAAAATTTAATTTCCTCCTGGATGTGTAGCTTGATGCACGACAACAATTAACTGCATTTGAACGAAAGTCAATTTGACACTTCTGTCATCATGGATTAGTTGATTTGAATATTGTGTAACTGCATTTGAAAGTTTTGATTAGAAGAACGTTCAGAAAATCAAGAAGCGTATGAAATCATTGAAATTCAGAAAGGATATTATTGTTACTTGTTTCATAATAGTGATAGAGACATTGATTACTTGGATTGCGCAGATATTATAGGTATTTCTCCTTCCACGGGATATTATTTTCTTCCCGTGGGAGTAAATTGACAACCTTGTTTCCTTAACTATGGCTATGGTCTTCAAAACACTGCTCGCTCTATTTATATTCACCTATACTTCAATACACAATTATTCCTATATACACAATCAAGAGATGAAAAAATATATGTATACAGGGTGAGTCATAACTATTGGGACATAGGCTAAGGGCGGATTGTTTGGACCAAAATATGGCGATTGGACCAAACATGCCTTGATAAAATATTGCTGTGAAAAGAGATACAGGGCGTTAAAGTTGATTCTTCTCGTTTTTTGTCGGTTTTTTGCTAATAATTTTACGGTATATGGAATATATTTGAAAAAGTTTTGTGATTTGGTTGCTTTCTGTCTAGATATTGAAGATATTACAATTCATACCTTCTGGCTGCATCCCGCATTTATTCATTCATACAATGATTGTGACGAGGCATTTCAATCGAAAAAATTTTGACTATAAACTCGCACCAAAATTCATTCTCTGACAAGAAATGCCATTACCAGCAGCATTATCTGACAGTTCAAAGCACACTCTTCATGAATGAACTAATATATTATTTGTAATTAACTTCTGAGACTCTGAACTGTTCAATATCGTTATTCTCGAAAACGGATGGGAATATCGTGTTCAAACAGGAGTACCAATATTACGTTGAAATAATGTTAAGGTCATATTTTTTTATCAAAATCACTCAAAAGTTCTGTCAAGAAAAGTAACCAGGCGATTTCATCATCAGGAATCATTCACGTGGCGCCCCCTGTATCAAAATGTAGAATAGTACATAAAATAATATTCCCTGCAAGGAATCATGCCTCTGTGCCAATTTTGATAACAATTGATGAATATACAGTGAAATTATTGGCAAAAAACGAAAATAAAAAGTAAACTTCAACGCCCTGTATCTTTTCCCTCAGCAATATTTTATAAAGGCATATTTAGTCCTATCGCCATATCTTGGTCCAAATAATCCGCCCTCAGCCTATGTCGCAATATTTATGACTCACCCTGTATAGAGCAAAGAAATGAAAATCCAAGTTTTCAAAATGGCAATCACTGGATCTATGGATTATTCTCGTAGATGAAAACTGTTCATCAAGTAAATTCCTCACAGATATCTACAGTAGTATGAAAAATTCCGAAGTATTAATTGGACTTGGTGAATTTGCAAAAAATATTTTTCCAAATACAACTCGTTCTTTGAATTTCATGAGATAACGTTTCATTTCCATCACTCAAACTTTTCTACTTATCAATCGGTTTGTTCTTTAATCTTGACGAATAAATGAGCTTTCGATGAATTTGAAGGACTCGTGGTATTATCGTTGATAATTTCATGTGAACTCAACTCGTTGATCTGTCAGGGAGATGAGGCTGGTAGTAAGTACATGATGATTATTGAAGTTATTGGTAATTTTTATAATCCTACCTAAGAAATTCTAATATACAGGATTATCCAAATTGAGTGTTCGTCAATTGTAACTTCAATGATAGTGAAACGACGATTTGACCATTTTTGCATCATATTTTCGATATTCAATATCCAAAACAATATATTTTCCAATGGAACGCTATGTACAATCAAACCTTTTTGAAATCTCCTTGAAATTCTAATTATTTCTCGTGTGATATAGGTACTCTAGGCCAATGAGCAACCATATTCGAGATATTAACAGTTGAAGATTGAGAAACTGTTTCTTACAATTCTTTAAACTAGTAAAATTGAGTTTCAACTGTCAAAATCTTGGAAATAGTTGCACATCGGACTAGGGTATGTTATATGAAAAATACCTGGATATCTGAGTAGGATACAAGAAAGTTTGAATACATAGAGGGTGTTCCTTTGGAAGATAATTTTCCAATTGATAACTCTAAAGCGTGATTGTCAATTGTTTTTCTGTTTCCATGATTTCAATCAGTAGGAAAGAGACTCATAGTCTGCAAATTCCACTAATGTTATAGTTTCAATATTAAACCTGACGAGCGTGTTGTTTTCGAAAAATGAAAAATTGACAGTTTTATGTTAAAATTACTATCCATATAAATTCTATGTTCATTGAAATCTGGAACACTCTGTCTATAGAAAACGCAATTCTTTTGAGCTATCAGGGTGTTGAATATTTCCAAATGAATATTTAAATTTTTGTACATTCCAGTGGAAAAAAATATACTTGTGATTGTCATATGATATGCATTGGTTGCCATTAAAATGATTTATCAATTTCACAAATCCGAAGGCTGCCTAACAACTCAGTAGATATAAAATCACAAAAAAACAACATTAATGAAATTAGGAACTTTGAATAGACATTGGAATCCACATGTAATGATTAATATTACTGATGTTAAATGAACAATGAACATTTCTTGACATGAATTCGATAACGTTTTTAAAACGAAATTGCTGTTGGAAGTAATTAATGTGAATACCAAATTTTTTTATATTATTGAAAACCCAATATTCCGAACTTTGCTGCACATTATGACAGTACACGACGAAACACCTTGTAGACACACTCTCAAGTGGTATCAGTTGTCCCAGTATTTTGTAATTGGAGCACTTTTCTCTTGTGCCGAATATAAAAATATATGTGAAGTCAGTGAATATTTTTCAGTTCCAACCAATGCCACCAAGACGTTTTTCGAAGAAGTGGAAAAATTTGCAAACAAGGAGGGAATCGACACTTGGGTACTAGTCACTATACTCATCGGTAAGTACCATAGATAAAAATATACAGTGTTTATTGTCTTATTGTTCATAGAGAAAAAAGCTTCCAGTAAGAAATAAGATTCTGGTATGAGGAAGTTGATTACAAACAACAATAATAAAATAACATATGGCGACAACAACAACAAAAAAATGTGAAAAATCTGAAAATGCTAAATCGATCGAGTTATAAAAATAGCAACAAGGACTAATCAAAGTATCAATTTTATCAATTTCCCCATAAAATCATGTATTTTTTCAATTCGATTTTGAATTTTGAAATATGTCTGCAACTTTTTATATCATCTAGTTATTCATTGAATTCAGCCAGATTCGCATGATTAAAGTTGTTTTGGCCAATTATAGAAGTAGCAGAATCAAGATGAAATGAGTTCGTCTCCTGTGATGACCATGAATTTCTGATGAGTTTCTTATCGGAACAGAATTGGAATTTAGATTATTGATTATGATATTGCCCAACCTGCTCAACAGAAATTGAAAAAAATATCAATGAATTGCTGAGACACTGAAGGCAATAATTGAAATAGTAACAAAATCTTGCAAATCGGATTTTCATGCAGTAGCGTTTTAGAGAACTTTTTCATTATTGTATTCCACTAAAAATTGAGCAGCGAAGGAGAATTCACAAATCACATGTGAGGTATTGAGAGGCCATTAAATTTTGTACAAAAAGAAACTCTTGTTGGAACGCACTGTTCTCAAGAAAAAAAAACGAAAAAAATTACAGCAGACTTCAAATTTCAATGTATATTATGTGGAGTACTCCATTCAACCATTCAAGACATCTGTTCAGATTAGTGGATGAAGATAATATGTATCATCCTGAAATTTTTGCATTATTTCAGTCACATAATAATATAACAGACTGAATTTATTTATTTCGAAAAGGTATACAGGCTGGACTCAAGAAGAATCTATATGTATATGTTCAAATCTGAGGTGGGTCGACGAAACGTCTCTCCAATTATTAGCAGGTCATGAAAAACACCCTGTATAGATTGTGCCAAGGAACTTACGAAAGCGCTGAAAGGACATGATAGATTTTTTTTATCTCGTAATAATGAGTTAGTTAACTCATTATTATGAGATAACTAACTCATTATTACGAGTTAGGTATCTCATTATAACGAGATAAAGTATCTCATTATTATGACTCAGTTATCTCATATTATCATGAGATACCCTAATTCATTATAATGAGTTATTAATTTGCAACGTTGCCAACATGTACTGATTTTCCTATTTAGTGAGAATAGACAATTAGACATCTCATTGAGAATGTATAGATACAATACATATAGGCATAATCTACTCATATACAGCCGTTGATTGCGATCCCATATGGTTTCAACTTATCATATGAATCAACATGCCACATGTACTTGGGTCCTTTATTTGCATATGCCCTTCTTCTCAGCCTATTTCTTGACCTTCATTCAACTCCCTCTGGATCCTTCAGGATTTTCCTCACTGTACTCTGCCTGACCACAAAACCATTCTGCAAACATTTAAGGTGCATCCAACTATAGCCATGCAAGCTACTTGATCCCTGTAATTGGTTTTCAATAAACTCAGATATGGTTGCCAACTCTGTGTAATTTCTCCTTCTATAAATTGAGTTGTTTCAGATGTCGTTTCACCTGCCTTTCACTGATTATTATGTCCTGATGTTCCAAAGAGGCCTTTATTTCAGAAATGTTAAATCCTATCTGGAAATATCTTTCAATGAGTTGCTTTACATCCATATCCTCTACAATTTTATGATATATCGTGCCCAGTTCAACAGAGAAGACAGAAAAGATCACACAACCTCACTACAACTCTCTCGAAAAAATCTGAATATTGTCTAAACATTTTCTGTTATCTCATTATAACGAGATGAAGTATCTCATTATTATGACTTTGTTATCTCATTATAATGAGTTAAGTATCTCATAATAATGAGATAACTAAGTCATAATAATGAGATATACTTCATCTCGTTATAATGAGATACTTAACTCATAATAATGAGTTATTTATCTCATTATTATGAGATAACTAACTCATTATCACGAGATGGAAAGAACTGGTTGACTTTCCATTTATTTTTTCGATTTCAGCCGTATCACTCATCGTCCTTGGAATATGCTTCTGTTGCATAAGGAGATGTTTCCGAAAGAGAAGAGCCAAGGATGGCAAAAAAGGAATGAAAGGGGTGGACCTGAAATCAGTACAGCTCCTGGGGTCATCATACAAAGAAAAGGTGAGAATCAGTGAAAAAAATAGTTAAGTACAAGAGAACTTCCTGTGGAGTTATTACACAAGGTGTAGGTAGCAAAGATAAACAGCAAATGTTTTTCAAATCATAACTATATTCAGTGAAAACCTAATTGTTCTAAAATTGTTCTTATCCATCATTCGGTTGCCCCCTTACGGGCAACCCTCAGAAGTCTTCAAGTGGCTTGTGCGGGGGTCTTTTAACATGTGATCCCAAGCACTTTCTTAGGCCATCAGTAAAATTTCTGCGGTCGTGGTGGGAATCGAACCCACTACCGGTAATCCAACTTGGATTGAACTATGACGCTTTATTCACGAGGCTATACGCTGGCCTGTAAAACACATTATGTTGATTGGAGAGATTTAATTTTATTTATTTTCAGGTTCAACCAGATATGGACGAACTTACCGAAAATGCAGAAGAGCCAGACGAAGGAGAAAAACCGGAAGTACAAAAGCTAGGCAAACTGCAGTATAAGGTAGGTATACAGAGTATATTTTCATGAGTCAACACTATCGAAAGTGCTCAAAGGATTGGGTGGACCACTCAAATTTTTGCCAAATTTCAATTTGCTATAATTTTTCGAAAAATGGATTGATTTTCAATCGGAATGCAGTGCCTCGAAACTGCATACTTTCTATTCACGATTGATTGTTCGAAACACATCAAAATTCTTCAGTCATGAGACACCAACTAATTGAAAAAATTGTTACAGAAATAAAAAGAAGGATTTTTCTTGAACAAATAGTTTATTTGTTGACAGATATTGTGTACAGGGTGCGCCTCTTAAAATGGAACCCCCCCTTAACTCTTTTGTTTTCGGATATATGAAAAAATGTTGAATGAAAAAGTTGTTTGAAACGACCAAAACTTTTATTTCGTGAAGTTGTTTCGTATACAGGGTCATTCGTTTTTCCAGAAAGAACATCAACTTTGATTTTTTAAACGGAACACCACATATATTTTCCAACCTGTCGATAGAGCTTTTTTTTCTGATTCCAAAAATATATATATGAGTTGTATATTCGGATGAAGAATAATTGAGTTATTGATGATCAAAGTTTACCAAAATATCGCTTCATGAATTCTCACTTTATATCATAGTTGAACCATGTTGAACATAGTGGACTTTGAAAAAATATTCCATGGAAAAGTCAATAAAATACAAATCATTATGTGGATAGATTCGGTATCACACTATAACAGTAACGCATGCGTAGATGTCGAAATATCATCAAGAGTTTTTGACAACAAAACTTGAATGAAGAAGTCAGTGTCCGGAATATTATGTTTATAGATCTTATCTTTCAGCGCTTCCCACAGGAAAAAAATCACAAGACGTCAGGTCCGGGCTACCGGGCGGGTAAAATATTGGTCCTCTCATTCCAATCCAAGTGTCATAACTCTCATGCATTGAGGTAGCTTGTGACTTCACTTGCATCATCCTGCTGCCATACCAATTGGTTTCGTCTATTTCAAGGGATTGCTTCATCAAGCAAGTTTTTAATATCACCTTGCAACATATCCAAATATTTTTGCCCCGTAAGACTGCCATCAATGAAGATGGGACCAATTACTTTAGTGTTATAAACACTGCACCAGACATTTACACTTCTCCGGCCTTGTTTTTTAAATTTTTTTATTACTCTCAGATTAACCGTAGTTGAAAATGAACACTCATCCGTGAATAAAATATTCTTAGTAAAATTTTCAACGCGATTATGTCTTTCAATTTTTTCATGACAAAATCGTAAACGATTTGGATGATCTTGAGGAAACAAAGAATTCACTAGCATTACTTCGTATGGCTTCATACGATACTTCTTCAAAACTCGTCTCACACTTGTCGTGGATATATTGAAGTAATTTGCAGCCATTCTTGTCGAACGTCTCGGGTCTTCAATGAAATAAAGTAATATATTTTCCTCTGTCCCTTCCATGACTTTCTTTGTTTGCTGATTCCTCTTCATATCACCGAAATCACCACTATCTCGTCTGAATTTCTCGAAGATCCTCTTGAAGGAATTCGAAGATGGAAGCGGACGATATCCCACAAGAAATGTATATTTCCAAAATTTCGCATCTTTCATTCAAACTGTAATCCTTTTTTTTTCTATAGAAATCGAACGTCTTCAATTTTATAATAAACATGAAGCTCAAACAATTTATGAACATTATTTCAAAGGCCACTATGTGCAACTTACATTAGATGATATTACCTATGAAGTGAAGGTTCATGAAGCGGAATTTTGGTCAACTTTGATCATCAATAACTCAATTATTTTCAATCTGAATATGCAACTTATAAATATTCTTGGAATCAGAAAAAAAAAGCTCTATCGACATATTGGAAAATATATAGGGTGTTCTATTGAATGAATCAAAGTTGATGTCCTTTCTGGAACTACGAATGACCCTGTATATGAAACAACTTCACGAAATAAAAGTTCAGGTCTTTTCAAACAACTTTTTCATCCAACATTTTTTTATACCTCCAACAACAAAAGAGTTAAGGGGAGATTCCATTTTAAGAGGCGCACCCTGTACAGCCTATATCAGAAACATCCAAAATTTCAGGTTGCTACTAAGTATAATTGAGTAATCATAATGGAATATCTCCGAAATCATGAGTTTTTGGTATAGGAAAGTTGATTTGAACTAGGTCTCATTTGTATCATAGAATAGGCGAGTGGACTATTAATTTTTTTTTCATTTCTCAAATAGAATCATCACTCATATACCTTTCAATTTGATTTTTTTTATTTTTCGATCGATTTTAGGGTTCTAAAATCATGAATAATGCCACGATAATTTTCAAACGGCTAGGAATTCACCGCGAGTAAAAACTGACGTCACGATTCCGTAGGTAGGGGCAGACTATAGCACAGTTGCCATATGTCCATGATTGCTTTCATCCCATTTGCTGCATAAAAGGATCAATCAGAGTCGGTGGCAAATAGCATTTGGCAAACGATTGATCATTTGATAAGTCATGGAAACCATCCATCCTTCCCAAAGTGGTCCGGATTTTTTCAAAGAAAAAACAAAACACTTAGTCGGTCGACCACAAATTTTAATTAAAAAAATTTCACTTTTTGTGATTAGTTTCGGCTCGAACAGCCATCTTCAGACACAATATACAGTACCTATAAAGATATTGGTTCACAAGGATAATATTATACAGGGTGTTATTTGAGTACGTGGCCAAACTTGAAGGGGTGATTCTTTGGGTGATTCTAAGACGAAAAGTTCATATAAACATAGGTCCGGTAATGCTTCGTTTTCAAGATACAGGGTGTCAAAATTTTTAAAAGAAATCGTTTTTTTCGTAAATATCTTAACCGATTTTATTGATATTTGACAGTGTTATTCAAGGTCGTAAAGGGCTAATTCAACCCTAACTATATCTAAAATATTAGTAAGACCCCAGTTTTTGATGGTTTGGTATTTGAAATGTTTTATTGTGTTGTCACAGGGATGTGCAATGAAGTGATTTTTATGTTTTTTCTCAAAAACAAAGCAAGATACGAAAAAAATTCTAGATATGAAAAATTTGTAATTTTAGTTGCTCAATGTGAAACAGGTACAAAAATTGCAAAAAAATCAGTGGCGCACATTTTTTCTGTCAAAAATATTGGTTACAGTACCTTCCGGGGCGCCACTGGACATGATAATTTTGATTTAGTTACGGTTAAATTAGCCCATTACGACCTTGAATAAGACTGCCAGATTTTAATGAAATCAGTTGAAGGGTTATCAAGATATTTACGAAAAAAAAGATTTCTTTTAAAAATTTTGACACCCTGTATCTTGAAAACGAAGCATTACCAGACCTATGTTTATATGAATTTTTCGTCTTAGAATCACTCAAAGAATCACCCCTTCAAGTTTGGCCACGTACTTAAATAACACCCTGTATATTGAGGAAGAAAAATACATATAAAAGGACACGTGGATGTCACATAATTCATAAATTGAAAAGTTGAGAAGCAGGGTCATTTGGCCAAAAATTCAATCCGGTGAAGGAATATTACAACTTTTGAACCGACTATATATTCAACATTGGCACAACCTAGGGACAAAAATAGCAAATTATTCAAAAATGTATCAATAATCCAAATATTTACTGTCTCAATGACCAAACTAATTTTGAACGAAACCACATTTTTCGTACACTTAAATTCTCATGACCATTTTTGTCTTACTTGCTTTTACCTAAGCCGGCCCTGTTCTGTTTTGTTCACCTTCCTGAGTTCTTCTTCTTCTGGGTTAGATTACAATTAATTTTACTCTTGGATTACTTATATCATTCGGCCTTACCACTTCCTTGTCCTTTAGGTTTTTAGGCATAATGAACTTTGTAATTCATTCAGTTTTCAGAAATTATTGCAACATTATCATTTCATGATGTTCAAAATAATTTTATCTTACATTGTACATGTCTTTTGGTTTGTATCATATTTCACTGTCATTTGTCTTGTTATTCTGTCGACGTCTGTTGCTATGCTTGACACTTCTTCGCCTTCTCCTTGGCTTTTGTCTTTTACAAGAAATGGCCATTTTAAGATGAAACTCCTCTGAGTGAATTATTTGCTAATTTTTTCTCTAGTTTGTGCCAATGTTGAATCTAATGATTGTTGAGTTCATTTGGCTGTTCAGTCGGTTCAAAATTTGTAATATTTCTTTACCGGATTGAATTTTTGGCCAAATGACCCTGCTTCTCAACTTTTCAATTTTATTAATTATGTGATCTCCATGCACGTGTCCTTTTATAGGTATGTTTTTTCCTCAATATACAATAGTATCCTTCTAAACCAATATCTTTACAGGTACTGTATATTGCTGTTTGAGCCAAAACTTGTCACAAAAAGTTAAATTTTTGTAATTAAACTTTGTGGTCGACCGACTCAGTGTTTTGTTTTTTTTCTTTGGATTGATCATTTGATTTGTCTATAGATAGCCATATTGCAACGTAGGTATTATCTTAACAGTTGAATCCACTGCACTAGAACATTTGGAAATACATTGAGGATATCAAGAAATCATACCAACGAGTAGCAGAATAGGGTACTTACTATTTGCAAATATGAAAAAAATTCTTGATTGAATATTTCACTTTCTCTGGCAGCAATTCACCTCAGCAATATACCATCAAAATATTAGGGCCAGTTGAATAAAACATTCGATATTCGATTGCATATTCGATTATTTTTTTAATTCCATGGCAACCTTTGCCTTTCCTGATGAGTTGATTCCTCGTTAAGTCAACATAGAGGTTCATGCAACTGACACTACACTTTGATATTGTCAATGGGGTAGACCACTGAGGGATGAAATCCGTACAAACCTCTTCAAACGAGGAATCATGATTTACATTCAATGTACAATCAATATTGGAGTTGAAGGGAATAGAATCTATAGCGTTTTGAAATAAGCATATATTCCATTCGATATTTCAGAAAGCAAGATATGAAGCTGGAACCTCTGGTACCTTGCAACACTGCAAGTGTTACAGGGTGATGAGTCAGCTCAAGGACAATAGGCGTGTTGGGACTAATACGTCACACCAGTCACACCAATGAATTGACACCATTTCAAATAGTCCAGGAATTTTGTGTTTTGGAATATTACTTTTTTCAACATCATAGATGAATGAAAAAATACAAAATTATATTCACTAGTAGTTTCTTGATATAGAGCTCACGATGATTTAATGAAAATTAAGTGGTCTCCCCCATTGAGGAAAAAACAATATTGAGCATTGAGACATCGAACACCTTTTTCTTTTGCAGTTGGAATATGACTTTAATCAGAATAGTTTTTCCGTCACTGTCATCCAAGCTGAAGATCTTCCTGCACTGGACATGGGAGGAACCTCAGATCCCTACGTCAAGGTCTATCTTTTACCGGATAAGAAGAAGAAATTTGAAACGAAGGTTCACAGAAAAACCTTGAATCCTGTCTTCAATGAAACTTTCATTTTCAAAGTGAGTATACCTTATGATAAAATGTCTTTTGTGAAAATCAGGATGATTCTACTTGCCATGATACCCAGTCTGCGAGGTTATATGAAAAAACAAACGAGTAAACTGCCTCCTAGAGAAGGTAACGGAAGGTCTCATGAGACTTTCTGTCGTGTGTTTTCATGAGATACCAAAGTTGACTCTTGTTGAAATTGTAATTTCCTTCATTCAAAAAATCAACGAAATCACCATCGTATTCATGAGATAAATTGGTTTCTGTGAAAATTCCTCTCGTAAAATCATTCGGTCTAAGCGATTTTATGAAAAAAGAAGAGGAGTCGAAAAATCTGAAACTTGTTATCGTCTAGTTTGATGAGTCGAATACATATATGCAATAAGAACAATAATTTATTCGCTGGAGATAGCCAGTCCACAGCATTTTAGTACTTTCCGCAAATTATGCCTCCACCCCCTGAGGAGTATATCCATTTGAAATTCACAATTCTGATAGATAATTCAGCAATGGTATTATCATATTTTACTGGTTCTCTTGGTAGTTATTCAACTCATTCTCATCATCAGATGAAGCACGATCATGTGACTGCAGCCATGCCTCTAAAATAGGAAATAACATGTTCCAGCTGCTCACCTACCAACCCAATATCGTTACCCTCCCTTCCTTCGGAACTGAAAACAATACAATACCAATAGTATTTCTACATTCAGCGTCAAAATGGTCGATCCATTCAAAATTCTGATGAAAGTTGCCTATCAATTTCAACTTTTTCTGTTGATAATGACACTAATTAGGAACTTCATGAAAATCGAGAACATGTCCTCATTATACGAAGTGACACAACAGTGGCTTTTCACTCTAACTTTGTGACCTTAATCTGTGGTTCCACCCTGTAATTTCTCATACATATTTTTTCTCTTTTCTGTAAAACAATGACTATTGTTGAAGAAGATACAGATGTCTGGGTAGTCTGGGGTTCTTCGTTGACCTGACATTAATAATTATTGCAACTTTTGGTCGAGCATGGCTCCAAATCGTGTCTCATATGAATATTGGCTGCCATAGCTCTCTTATATACTATGACCATGTCCTTTGAAGATTCACAAATTTGACGTCATAGCTTATTCTATAGGCGAAATATCAATAAGATCATCGCTGTACTCTATCCAGGCATGACATTACCACAATGTATCCAAACCATCCTTCAAAAAATTGCAAGTAGATTGCACTCTAATTCAGCAGCTATGAAATTTCTAGCGAGCCTTAAATATTTTCATCTGAAGGTCTGTTAGAAAACCTGATTGGTTACTGATGAAGTCAGTCATATACATTGAATGTAAAATAAAAATCTGATTGAGAAAATCACAATATATTCTATCAATATAAAAATTAGCTAGTTGCCTTGAATACTATTCAGTACCAATAACATATCAACCTAAATTCGCTTTTGGAGATTCACCAGTCTCCTGGGCAGCTTCGGCACCTTTCTCGACATTATCATCTACTCTTCCTCTCAACATCCTTTGAATGTCCTCCAAACTCTTTCCTTTAGTCTCTGGTACAAAAAACACAACGTATATACTCGTCGAAAATGCGCAGCCACTGAATATATAAAATGGTACGTAAATCCCAAACGCACTCTTCAGATTGAAATACACTTGCAAAGCTATTATCGATGCTAATACGTATGCCCCATCAGCAGCTGTCATTCCTATCGCCTTTATCTTCGAAGCGAATATCTCTGCTGTCATCACAATGGGAACCATTCCCAAACCGACTTTGAACACAGCTGCGTAAACCATGACCGAGGCTATGGGTATCCAGCTGATTTTCTCCACATCGAAACCCATCGCCTTGACGTTGAAGTAGATGGCCAGAACAAGCAGGCAAATCCCTGTCAGAATACAGGAAACTACCAGTAATACTTTTCTGCCGAAGCTGTCCATTGTGGCAGCAGCTACTATGGCGGATACCAACATAATAGCTGCGAATATGATAGCTGCAATGGACGGGTTCATGTAGATTGACCCTGCGCTTTCTAAGATTTCGTGGAGATTCATCATGATCACTTCGAAGCTGCTGAACAGCTGCGCAAAGTTTAGGATGAACATTATTTGCAATGCCTTTCGGTAGTTTTTGACTTGGTAGAGTTCTTTGAGTGATTTGATCTGTTCGTTTCTCTCTTTCATGGCTGTTTCTGTTATTTCTTTGAGTTCTTCTTCGATATTGGCATCTTTTCCTCTGAACCTATAATGAAACATAAAAAGTTATCTTTGATAGAAGTCCATAGTCGCACAAAGTGGACTAGTAGAGTGGAATTCAAAATGAATAAAGGGATGGTCTCTTTCTATTAATTATGAAATGCTCGATGAAATGTCTTTTGTCTGATATAAAAAGAAACCAGATTTCAATTGCCTTATGAATATAATGTGTATATATTTCCAATTTTCTGAACATGCAGATTGATAAATTTTGAAAAGAGGATTTGAGTTTTGAAATCATAGAAATTGTTGTTGATAATTGTTATTGGTTACATTCATCAAAACAAACCGCTCAGAAGTGGTTGGCTATCATAGGCAGGGGGCCACCGTATGCACATTTCCCCTTCGCTAAATTGTGTAGTAGAAAAGGTTCTATTGTAGATACAGGGTTCGATGAAATTATGATCCTTCCAGAACAGCATCCTCTTGAGTCTTATTTTGTTCGAATCCTAGCTGAATCTTATCAGTTTCTAGGAATTCTATCGGAATTGAGTAGTTGGAGGATTGATTGCAAACTGAATTTGTTCCTGGCTAGATCAATAAGCCTCTTTATATTCATTTTACTTGATTCTTTGTGATTTTCTCTCCTCGTTTCTATAAAATCCCAATGAATCAAGTAAAATGAATTTACCACCTTCTCGATTAACCTACAGACCTCTTTATATTGTTCGACAGTTTTTGAATCCTTGAATTTGTCTCTAGTGCGACTATTTTTACTTTCAAAGTCAGTACTTATGGGTAGATGAACAAAGTTTCACGACCTCTCTAGATAAATTTGTTGAGGTTGAGGTAGGTAACGAGATTGAGAAATAACTATGTTCAAATTGTACGCCACATAGAAGTAAATGAATCTTGAACGGTTTCAGTTGAACAGGTGATGAGAGAGAAAAGTGAACAGAAGAGGAGATAAGAGTGAATAGAAGAAGTGAGGTTGGTCAATACCGACGCTCTTCCTAAACTGCCTAACTTCCAAATCCCGAAATTGAGTGCAAATTAAAGTTCAATTTCTCAATCATTCTGCACTGGATTGTGACAATAAAATATAATGTTTTTACATGCCTTCGGGACATATATCACTTCTTTATCAAACGTCGGTCGAAATTCGCAGTTGTCTCTTGGACTATAATAAGTCTAAGATGTGTACATACCGCTTCAATGATTCTTTGGCTGCTTCATGCTCATTATTCATCATCAAATAGTACGGTGACTCGGGCAAAAAATAGAAGACAACGCATTCGATCAGCAGCACCACTCCAGCTATCACAGACGGCACAAAGTACGGTACGAAGGGCCCCAAACCGTAAATCAGCAGCACTCCGATCAGCATCATAACGAACGTGATACTGGATAGGAACCCTCTTATTTTCTTGTGGGCTATCTCGCCGACATACATAGGCGCAGCCACGAACGCCATGTTGAGACCCAAGCCTTTGAACAGCCTGGCGGCATAAAGGTACTCGACTCTGTCGCCTACAGCGATCACCACCCAGCAAATTATTAGTAGGGCAGTGGAGAGGATGAGGGATTTCCTCCTGCCGATTTTTTCGACGAAGTATATGGTGAATGGCAGGCCTAGGATGGCTCCGATCAGTATGCAGGATTCCAGCCATTCGGCTTGGGACCTGGTCATTTTAATGTGGGATTCTTCGCTGAGGAAGTAGGGTATCATCGGAGCTGTCCATCCCATGGTCATGCCGTCGGTAATGGCCATCAGGTTTGCTGGAAAATAAACCGTATCCTAATTATTGCATAATGTGTTCCCAGCGAGCACAAACATTCCTGGGATGTTTCGAAATGTTTTGAAACTATTGAGATAGGTCATTGAAGGATATGTGTGGCATTTCTTTGTATGCCTTCTGGGAATTTTTTCGGATGTTTAAAAAATTTAGGCATCAGAATGTTTTTTGAGACGCGATATGCATTGATAAAAGAGGTCTTTGTCTGCCTCCTGAGGAAGTAGCCCTGAGATGTTGTGAGATGTTCAAAACATTTTGGAATGGGGATGTATTTTTGAGACGTGATATGCACTTCCCAAAGATGTCTTTGATGGATTTTGGAAGTATTGTTTTTGTTCTCCTGTGCCATTTCTTTATTTGCCCCACCACAACGTCTCATGCTTACGTCACGATATATGGTGAACTCTGATTTGTTTCCTATTTTGTTGTTTTTGTTCGCATTCACGTTTGCAACGTCTTTTTATTCCATTATTACAATACCAACGACCAATTCTTCTCAGAACAGAAGCAACGACATATAGGTGTCATATTCATTCTAATTAAAAATGACCAGACGTGTCGACCATATTCCGTAATGATATATTTCAAACAACACAGAATATTTCACGAATATTTTTACACCGTTCAGAACGTTCGGACTTATTTTAGATATTCTGATATAATGCGTTCTCAGAATGATCATTGAATATATTTACCCTGGCAACAAATATTCCATGAACATTCAATTTCAATTCAATTTTAGAATATTCTGACAGAATGCGTTCTCAGAATGATCATAAAATATTTTCATCCTGGCAACGAATATTCTACGAACATACAATTTGAAATAATGTCAGAACATTCTGAGAATATACAGCGTATACAGATATAATATGGGTGTCATTCTTGTATCAATATTTATGTTTTCCCTGACCCACCCTATTATTCTCTGGCCTCAATGCAAATAATTATTATCCTAGTATAATAATATGTAGTGCATGTTGACATCTTTCTATTGATATCACTTATCAATAAGGTTTTTCTAGCGCAGTGGACAAGGTGTAATAGTATATTACGTAATATGTGTTGTATGAAGCATATTACGCATACTTCACCTACTGCCATAATATAGTACATAAAAAATTTTTGGACAAACAGTCTGAATTATAATTCTTTTGACAGTTATGTCATCCGCTGTTGGCGATTACGCGATCATGACTGACGGAATAAACGAAAACTGTGCGATGTGCTTACTGTGCGTGAATAGCTACTTACTGAGGCTGTATCTCGTGTGTTCATGCCTACTTTATTTAGTGGCCGTTGGTGAAGATGATCAAAATTCAATCACAATAAGAGAGTAGGTTCGATTCCCCAGCGGGGAAAGTTCTTTCAATTTTCTTCTTTTTGCTATAATATGCTAGGAATGGTTTATTCGAAGCGATGAGATGTGCGCAAAACGTTATGTTGTGTCCATGAAGAGCCTATAAAAAATACAGGTCTCGACATCTCGTATACACTTTTAACATCTCTGAGATGTTTTTGTGCTCGCTGGGTTATTGATATAAATAAATGGTAACGTTTCATCAAAAATCTCCGAATACGACAATATATATATATTCATAAAAAAATATGGAATATTTCGATTTTTCAGAGTATTGTGAAATAACTCTCCTATATAGAACACTAATATTGGTTCAATATTGAGTCAATAAATGGTGAATGTTGGGAAAATATTAATTTTAATTATTGGGTCAATAAATCAATGTGAACATTCTGGAATCTTGGTGCTATGTTGAATTTCAATCTTGTTTCGATATGCTCTATCCAATATGAGTTAATATTCGTATACAAGATTGGACAAATATATGATGCCAACTTATAGAAAACTGGTTTCTTATAATTTTCATATGTGAAATCGATATTGAATTCATATTCCCCTACTATATTGGCTAAAATGAGGATGTGATTATTTTGCAATATTATCTTCATGTTGAATTATAATATTCAACCAATATTGAATTTCGTTTTTCAACAAAACTCGAAATCAAAATTCGAAGCCATATTATAGCCTCATTAAAAAATTGCGATATTTGTACAATATCAAATCCATTTTCGTTTCCTGTATCCCAGAATACTTAGTTTGCAAGTTGAACGAATGCGGTATTTGATGTCTCTCAGCAGTCGTTTGTTGGAGGCGTGCTAGTGGCGTCAGCTGTTATAACGTAGCTCAAATACTAAGAGAAATATCACGAATATCGATTCGATATTAGAAATCCAATGTCAGTGCAATATTGGTTCTGGCATATTGCATTAGTTATATCTATCTGAAATGGGTCGCATATTGATGAACTAATATTGTCTGAATAAAGATACAAAATATTGATACAATATGTTTTCCAAGATTGATTCGATATTGGGAATACAATATCAGCCCATCATGAAAATTGACATATTGTATTCGTTAATATTTCGCCAATATCAAATAAATATTGGCAAACTGATATCGGCTGGTCACAAAATTTCAATGTTATTACAACATTGGCACTGGATTGATTATTGAATATCGAAATGATATTGAATCACCAATATCAGTGCAATATTGCTGGACAACGAAGAGCAATATTCACCAACCATCATAAATCTGATATTGATGCAATATTTTTTTCCATGATTGATTCAATATTGGAAATACAATATTAGCCCAATCATGGAAATTGACATTGTGATCGTCAATATTTCACCAATATCGAATAGATATTGGTAAATAAATATCGGCTGGAAACAGAATTTCAATGTTATTACAACATTGCTGGACAATGAAATGCAATATTCACTAACCATCATGAATTGGATATTGAGTCAATATTTTTTTCCAAGATCGATTTGATATTGGAAATGCAATATCAGCCCATCATGAAAATTGACATATTGTGATCGTTAATATTCCTCCAATATCAAATAAATATTGACAAATTGATATCGGCTGGTCACAAAATTTTAATGTTATTAAAATATTGGCAATGGATTGATGATCGAATATTGAAATGAAAAATTGGTTTGATATTGGTGCAATCTAGTAATTCCATATTCAATATTCGAATATTGGGCTAATATGAAACCAAGTTCTAGCCAATATGATGTTCTACCTGGGATAGTGTTCTCGATTCAATACGATTAGCTACTACTATACTTTGCTCATTTCTCCAAGTGGCGGATCGATAATGAACTATTCATTCGACCTAATATACATGCATGCATGGTATTATCTAAATGACTACATATTTTGAACATAGCAATATGCTCCAGTTCAACGAAAATTTCCAAATTAACAAATATTGGGAAGATAAGAAGAAATACCACTAATATTATAATTTAAAGTTTTTCCAATTACTACAAAAGCATTATTAGTGATAAGATCCAATTCGAAACTCATTCAACTTGATTTATCTCAAATCTAAGTAACAACCCAATTCTAGTCACTATTGAACGCTAGTTGCTATCTTACAATTTTCTTTATGTGGCAACGTCGCTACATTCCTAGCAGTTCACCTTCTTTTATATGCCTACCATGGGCTCTCGATGAGTAGAAATGTGGAAGGAAAATATAATTTTGATCACTATGTTTTTCTGATGCTGCCATTCGATAGTATAGGTAAACCTTGAGCCATCTTATGCTTCAGATTCATTGTATTTTTCGCACACCGCCTTTTTTTATCTGTCGGAGCACACGAGAGGAAATTTCTATAATGGAGGATAGGAAAAGGAAGTAGGTGTTGGAGTTGTTATTGAACTTTTGGAGGTTATAAGTTCCTTGGGAATACTTCCATTGGCAAATAATTCCAAAGCGTCGCCGTTCAATAGACGAAAGAGTTTTGGTGAAAAGTTTGTTCGACTTATTTCAAGGCTAACGACGAGAGGATGTGCTGACAGGGCCTGTCGAGTTCGTCTGACTGGTATTGCTAATGATGGAATTATAGCAGAGATTTCTGAGGAACATTTCCCGTGGAAGTACCTATAGGAATATGAAAGGTCGCCGACTTTTTTACGGTCTTCTATAATGGGATCAAAAAGTTAGTGAGCGTGGCATCACCCACCAGGCGAAAGGGTCTTCTCTGGATGGAATCTGAGAGTATCAGGGTATGTTTGGGTGCTGAATCTCATCCATGAGAACAGTGTTTCTAAACTGGCCGTATCTGTGCTTCGTAGAACATGAGAAGCTGTTGTGGTGTAAAGAAGATATTCGCACGGAACAAGAATCCGAGTTTTTTTTGCGTTGGAGCGGACATGATTTCGTCATGGGAAAGTGTTGCTGATCGTGATAGTCCAAGACCTGGCTGCAAATGTCGACCGTCTTCTGATAACGAAATGATATAATATGTCCGAAAGGCATGTGGAAAGATTTTAATTTATCGAACGGCACCTGTGCAATCACTATCCTGAGGATAACGATTGAAAAATTGCACTTTCCTGTGCGGAGATTTGAATATTATGCCATCTGATACCAATTCGATAGTAGATTTCAGAAACCTATTATGCTATTGCTATTATTTCGGACCTATAGTTCCGTCATGTGATAACGAGAGAAGCTGATAAAAGGGGATGATGTCGCCTTTGAAAATATCCAAAAGTGCGCCGTCGTTTCGAACTGATCTAAGCCAGTGGCAGAGCGTCAAAACTTCCCTGGATGTTTTGCCTCTCTCTGAAGATTGACCAGTGAAAAACTCGACATGTGGATTAGAATACTTGTAGTGTCCATCGGATATCATCTTACGACGAGGGCGAAAGATTAACGGAAATATTGACGCTGTGCCACTAACTTAGATCAGTTTGAATCGCGGCACTTTTGATATCCGCGAAAATGACATTTTTTCCTTTCATTGGCTTTTTGTTTCAACTCGTTATCACATGACGGAAGTATATCCAGAATAATAGAAGCAAATGAATCGCTATGCCATGGATTTGGCTCAGACTGAGGGGTGGGGTAGGTTTCTGAGATCTACCATTCAATTAGTATCGGACGGCATAGTTCTTGTCTCATTATCAAAACTCGAAATCGAGCGCAAATTTCCGCATAAGAAAGTGGTATTTTTTTATCATTTGCTCAGGATAGTGATTGGCACAGGTGCCGTTCGATGAACTACAATGTGTTCACATTCCTTTGGGACATATATCATTTCGTTGGTAGCCGACGATAGAAATCTATAGTAGGAGAGCCTACTATAATAGCGAGCATAGGATATAGTGGCGTCGGTGGGATATGGTGGTACCAGACATTGTTATATTTGGCATATCAGACAATGAATATTGTCTCATGAGGATTTGATTGATAGTCTTGAAGTGAACAAATGATTTTCCCGTTTTTTCTGATGTTCTCATTTAGAATGATTACCTAAAAACGCTCGATTCTACTAAGGCGCTGAAGAGCCACCTATACTTTTTTTTTGAATCCCGACTTTAAAGTCGGGGGTCCGAGATTAAAGTCGGGAGTCCGAGAATGAAGTCGGGGGTCCGAGATTGAAGTCGGGGGTCCGAGATTAAAGTCGGAATTCCGAAACTGAAGTTAGGAGCTATATTATATTTGTTAAATATGTGGACAGACATAAATAATTTCCATTGTTACTCATCAGTTTGACGTCAGCAACATGCTTCTGAATTTTCTACATGTACTCGAAAAACACCCTGTACATTTATGTACAAACAATAGTTTTACATCCATTGGATAATCATCACATAAGGATCAGTCAAAATCTTCCTTTTTGGATGTACACTGAATGTCAAATAATGGATCACACCTGTACGATCATTATCGTACGTATAGGGTGATTGTTTATATTCCACTTAATAGTTAAGCATCTCATTTGTTTGTACAAAGGGTGCGAAAAGATTACAATACAAAACATATATTTTCACAAATGAACTACCCTGAATGTCATTCCGTCTTTGGGTAGAGCTCAGAAAGATGAGTTCAATGATATATGATTACATTTGTAGGTATGAGATCACCCCTTCCAGACTAAATTTGTTCTATCTAAAATTTGTTCTATCCGTCATTCGGTTGCCCCCTTACGAGCAATCCTCAAAAGTCTTTGAAAGTCTTGTGCGAGCAAGGAATGACGGGGGCCTCACCTTTTAACGTGTGATCCCAAACACTTTCTTGGGCCATCAGAAAAATTTCTGCAGTCGACGGGGATCGAACCCACGACCGGCAAGCGAATGCGAATTAGAATATGGACACTCTGTCCGCACGGCTACCTGGCCACTATTTCCATAATCTTCTTCAATAAATAGCCGAATTTCAAAGCCCTATGAAAACGTTGAGAATCAAGTTTTCAATGCGCAGTTTTCATTATGAATTGTATGTTATATTGATATTTTGTCAATATTAAGGATATTCGAATTAAACAAAAACAAAAATGATGACGTATTTTGCAAACCGATCATTTTCTCGGAATTTTCGAATGCATTCGATTTCATTCTTGGATAGAGCTGAGGAAGACGAATTCAATGATATATGATAGTATGCGTCTGAGAACACCCGTTTCGGACTTATCCATGAAGTCCAAGATTAAAGTCGGACCCCTGACTTTAATCTCTGACCCCCGACTTTAAAGTCGGACCCCCGACTTTAATCTCGGACCCCCGACTTTAAAGTCGGACCCCCGACTTTAAAGTCGATATTAAAAAAAGTATAGGTGACCCTTCAGCGCCTTCGTACGATTCCAATTACTGCTTACCAATGACAGATGCAAATAACTGGAAAAATGTTCCCATCACACCACTGCTGCTATCATCCATTTTGATTTCCAGTTGGTCTACATGAGAAGCAAATTCTTTTCATTCCATTCCTCTGGAACTTCCTGCTGGAATGATAAGATAACTCCGTATATTTATCTGAAGTACAATGAGATAAAAGGATTTATTGACAAATGTTCTGATCTCTGTTCAAATTTGAATATGAATTCAAGGTAGTTTTAAATAATGAAATACCCAGAGAACGAAGTATAGTCGATACTCTATAAAATATAGTCTCGAATATAGTGCTGTATTGAAGTCTTTTCCACAATTGAATTCAACACCCAAAAACATTCAAAATTTATGGCCAGACTAGGCCAAGAAGTATCACATCATTGTTGTCACTGTAACTATGAAAATCTTGGCTGAAATGAAATTAGATGACATTTTGATTTTTGAAAGTTTGGTTGCAATTATCGCAATAAACTATCAGAATCAGCTGCGATAGTGAGTTTGAAATTGTCCATACGATATTTCCAATGTAACAGTTAGTAGGTATAGGTCTCGGTATAGGTATTCTATTCAAATTTCAGTATTTGATACAAATGAAAATTAATGAAGAAGAAATTATATTCTACAAAGGAAGATAATATGGAAATGTGTCTTTATGATTTGTTATTCTACATCATGGTTGCCGGAAAAACAATGTACGCAACACGTCAAAAAACAGTTATTTTGGACTCGCAGACTTAAAGGAAGAATTTTGTCTACTCGTCCAAGAAACAGTGCAGGGACGCGCCTATACAGTGGCAACTGCGTGCACCGCACACGGGCGGCCACCCTCAGGGGCGGCCAATCCTAATCACGAGATACTAAATACTCCATTATCTTGAACATAATAATACTCTGTAGACTATGAAAATTCTCGTGATGAAATGTCAATTTCGATGCATCTGTTCCAAATTTTTCCAATCTTTAGCAAATTTTTCCAATGTTCTACACTCAATATTAAAGTATGTCTTGATCAATTGAATTTTTTTCGCTGCATTCAGATCCGATGAGAACTATTCAAAAATTTTTAAAGGACTATAGCTCATAATTCAGATTTCGAAAGATACTTTTCAGAACCTTCTCGAAGAAGAAAGATGAATTCAAGATACATTTTTTTTATGTCATCAGCGACCAAATAATATGTTCTCACAATTCGAGTCTTTGGATTTCTTCACTTAGCTTTCGGTAAGGACTTTGATGAAACAAGTATACTCGAAAGTTGTGAAAATTTGCAAAAAAGTTAACAAATGAAAATCCTCAGGAAGAAGATATAGATGGGATAGATTTATTTAATGAAATAAAATCATTGAAAGTGATATGTCATGAAAATATAGAAAATGATCCACAACAAATTTTATAGTATATACATTTAATGAGCAGCTTTCCAAATATTTCAGTCTCATTCCGCAGTCGTATTTCAGTTGCTTCCATATCCATCGAATCTGAATTATTAGAAACAATTGATGTTGACGTGCTCATCAGAGAATGTGCTCGCAGCAGAAAGCGAGAAAAATTATATTTTCGAAGTATAACCTGAACCTCATATGTTGGTGAATCAATGTTAATTTTACTATTTGTAAATTATTTGTTATGTTACTTATGATTATTAATAGGTTATGCTATGTTCCGTAAATGAAATCATCTCTAGACATCTTAAAACGAGTTAGATATGTTATTCGTTACTTTTCAGTTCCCAAAATATACCAGTTTTCAAAATTTGTTTTATTTCAATGTTTTTGAGGGCGGCCCAGAACATATTGCACACGGGCGGCGAAGTGTCTAGGCGCGCCCCTGAAACAGTGTTTTCCGTACTTGCTACGTAAATTACTATTATGGTATATATATTTATAGGTCTGACTTACCAAAGGTTTGGATGAATTCAATTATTATTGTAGCAACGAGGGATTTTGATAGATTTTCACTATTCGATATTTGAGAAAATGAAAGGTAGTGCACGAGGTAGTGCAATTGTTTACAAAATGAAGGTGACTGAGGCTAAGCATGAAAAACATATCATCCAATCGAAGCTAATATTGATTTTTTAATTTTGACATTCTAACATTTTTCCTAATTGGCAGCATATACATTTTTTGCATCATTTATGTATATTAATTGTATGCATATGGAGTCCAATTATTTGCGGGAAGATAAATCAATCACTTCAATTTAATCAATGCGCTGGTAAACAAGCAAAGCATCATTACATGTTTTCATAATATACATAATTTTTCAACTCCTGTTTCACAATCACCTTGGGTTATCGCTTTTGATAATACTGTTATAAGAAATGAATTTGGCTACCTAAATTTCACCTGTTTTATATTTGTATTGGTATTGGTCCACAGGGTTCAGGGACGTCCGCAGAAATAATCTCAGGGGGAAGACAAGTCCCAATAATAATGTACAATATTCAGTATATAAAAAAGAATCAGTTATTGCCCGACTTATAAGCGATTTTACACCTCCAAAGGCGGAAGGAGTACAGGTTTCAGAGTACTTCCTTGGCTGCGATTTTTTCCGGGATATTGTAGATTTTTCTGGCAATAAATCTAAACCATAATATTTGCAGCAGCTTCTCCAATAGTTTTATGTTTTATCACACATCTTTGCAATATTTATCAGAAAAAAGCTTAGAAAACAGTTTAGAAAATATGCGAACACACTTTTTCGATGTTCACAAAAAGCAATATAGCTACTGTTGTTTGTCGGTCGTCATGATAATCAAACTTGATTTTGTGATTTTTGTGTCCAGATTTTTATTTTCTTGAATTAGAAATGTCATATTGACAATAATAGATTCTATGTTGAGATTCTTCAATTAAAATCGTTGGGCCGTGCAAAAATAGTATCTATATACACGTGGCAAGTGAGTTCTTTCTTTCCTTGATCGGTGCATTGTAGAGGCATCTGACTACAAAACCACCTCGAGAAGAATCATGCACTTCACTCCTCCTCTACTACTATTCTATACAGGTTGTATCTGAATAACACCGAAAAAATTCAAGGAGTGATTTGTTGTGATATTTTTGGAAATAAAGTTCACATGAACATTTGTCCCAACTTGCTTGATTTTCGAGATACAGGGTATATCAATATTTCCATGAAAAATCTTTTTTCTATTCATTTCTCAATTGTCTTCATCAAATTCAATAAAACGTTGTGGTTTTGTTAATAGTAATATGGAGCTTCTTCTAGTGTAATTAGATTCGAAATAATATTTCCAGTGGCGTCACAGTGGGTAAATTTATCAATATTCATGGTGAATGTCATTGTACACCACCGGTTTTTCTGAGTTTCATATTTTTATCAGATTGAACTATCGAAATAACAACTGTTTCATCCTCTGTGTGAGTTTTCTATCTAGCTTAGTTTTTGGGAAAACAATGAAAATTCGATTTGACTCCAAATTTAATGTATTAGATGTTTTCAAGACTTCCATTGAGATTACTCAATAACCCCAATTAGAATCATTCTGAAATTTTGGGGCTTTCTCAGTCTCCATCCATACTGAATTTTGGTACCATGAAAGCTTATACAGGGGGGTTATAAATAAAAACAATTAATACTTCCAATTTCAACATCCTGTATATCAAAAACGGAGCAAGGTAGGACACATGTTTATATGAATTTCATTTGCTAGAATGTCACGAGGAAACACGACCCCTTGAATTTTTTTAGTGATATTCAGATACACCCTGTATAAAACATGGCAATGAAAGAAAAGAAAATGAGTTGAATTGGTATTTCGTTGAAAGCTAAAATTACAATGGAAAAATCTTATTCAAACAAAAATAACATTCTTTAGAGTCCCGAGCAAAGGATTCCCCCTCACGAAAACGTGGAAAATTGGCTCTCGGTCGAATTCTCTGAAATTTTACTATGTTGTTGTGGGATGGCTCATTACGAAAATATGAGTTTTGAAAGTTTTGTATGATTAGTATCTGAGATATAAACCGACAAAGTTCGTGAAAAAGTCGTATCGGGGTAGGATTGACAAATAAAAAAACCGACAGAAAAACTGTATAAATAAAACAAGGTACGACAGGTTTGTGTCCTTAAATGTGGGAGCAAACGTCTACTTTCGATGCAGTGAGTAGATAAAATTAATAACGACTCACACTTTACTACATGAAATCAATTATGAAGACTAAATAACTTGACAATGCTCGGTTGATGCAGTTCCATGAAACATAATAAAATGCGATATAACCCAAGTATAAACATACAGATATCGCATATATTATGTCCTAAGTGAAATAGGTATAATCTGAATGTTTATGATGTTATTGCGTGCGGCACGTATAATTCACAGCGGCCTTTGTCACAAAATGCAGGTATATGTACAGGGTGTTAATTAATTGAGTGCCGATCGAGGTGCCGATATTACAAGGAGTGAACCCTTGGGTGATCTTGAGGAAAAAAAAAGTGCTAAAATCAGAAGCGAAATTTTTTAAATCAAAACATTCAATATCAGGCCTACGTGATCACCACTGGAAAAAGTGGAAAATTGATTTTTATCCCAAAACAAAATGTGTTTCCACGCATAGTGCCTTTTTTATGTTCTGGTTCCCACGAAAAGGAATATCCTGTAATGTTCAGAGAACATCCTGAGAACCAAGGAAAATAAGGTAGGAATTATTGGTGTTCTTGAATTTCTGGAAATTATATGCCTCGGGGAATGTGTCCCAGAGTCTCGCTGTTCGTTGGATGAACGAGTCTTTGGAAAGAGATGTTCTGCAGGTCTCCTACTAAATTCTAACAGAATACTATATGAATACAATCCACGAAAACGGTATGTCGTATGAAAGTAGGTCACGAAACCAAATTTGCTGTACAATTTTTTTCTTCAAAAATTGTCAGTTCAAACCCCGTACGGACGTCACTGATAAAACTTTCGAAAAATCTTTTACGTCAAAATATGCTCCGTGTAGTGATGAAATAGTAATGTATGTACAAAATTTCATGAAACTATCTGAGAGTGATACAAAATTATGATAAAAAACTCACTTTTT